ACCGGCGTATAAATCGGCCTGTACGCCTTGTTTTTCCCGCCGTTTCGAGGGTAAATGGCGCCGTTCGCGCCACTTTGTCCCTCGTTCCTGCCGGAATGCAGAATTTATTGCGGTAACGAGCTGTGAAATACAGCCGAGCTGACTGCGGTACCGAGAACGAAAGGGGGTTCGGCGCGCTCGTTAACGGTTTCTGCCCTCTTAAAATCGAAGCTTTTTGATATTGGCTTCGGCTCACAATCTCTCAAATTATTTATTACCGTTAATTCCTTCGAAAACCGAGAACTAGTACAATTTTTCCCAAGCATTGAATTCGCGTCGAGAATATTTTTATCGCGAATTACATTTATCCTCGAATTTCTTAAATTTTTTTTTTTTCTTCGAAATCTTCTCCGCGTGTATTCTACAAATTTCCTACGAAAAGTATATACGAAACACTGTGTCGCGTAACAATCGAACGAGGAAATTCCAAAGTCACTGATAATTCAAGCAACGCGGAATAAACGTGAAATAAATCTTCCTCCTTCCCACATCTTTCGCAAGCAGAAGAATGCAAGCAATGTCATCGAACCCTTCACAATCCCGTTCCGCGCATTGGCCGATCCTCGAATTACCTTCCGCTTACGTTACAACGATCGTCTAATCGTTTCTCGGCTCGTTCATCGTCATACGATGAAATTGTTTTGAAACGTGGAATCGATCAACCCGGATCAATTCGATCCTTAAAATATGCAGGAGGTTGAACGCGTCGGGCGTACGGTTACCCACCGAGAGTCCCGTGCCAAGTGTCGAATTCGATTCGCGTTGCGGACATTAGTCCGTATATTCGGTCAACATCCCACGAGCTCGGATTCGCGGCGCAAAGTATACGCGGTGGATGCCCGTGACACGTTCACATGACCCTTTTCCGCGGCGTCACAGTTCTCATGAAACAATATACCGAGTATGTGAATGGGAGACGTGTCGTTACGATACTTCCGGCGAACAGTCACCCGCCACGAATAACATTAAAGCATAAATAATGGAAACGGGAAGTTTCTCGATGCGAGCAACGTGTTCGTACGAATCGAAAGTCATTCGAAGAATTTTCAATTCTTTTTCTCTTTTTTTTCGAAAATAAACGATAATTCAGATACTTGATAAATCCTTTAAATGAGGGTAATTTTAAAGATTTCAAATTTTAATCGTTAGTCGGTGTTTTATTTATATTTGAATATTGGGAATGGATATTAAAAAATTGTGTAAATTTTTATAACAATCTGTAGAGATTCTGTAGATATCGAATATGTTCTCTATTATTTTCTATTATTAGGAAAGAGGAATATTAAATGCAATGTATTTTAACAGTTCGAGTTAAATATTCACTTTCGTGTGAAATAAATTTTTAAATATAATTAGTTGATTTACATACGTGATAAGTGAATTTAATCGATAGAAATTTTTCTGTTTCACTTTTTGCATATTCTTTATTTTAATTAATAAACGTTAAAGATTGATTATTTATTAAATAATTCTCTATCATTATCAATGGAGCATAAATCCATATAAAAAACAACATTACCATAAATGAAGTTCAAAGATCTCCGTTACGAAACTAGTCGCAATTTTCCAAAAGAATAATATGTCGATTATGAAACTACAACAATTATGAAAGTACAACAAAACACTCAATCTGATAAATCGTTAGTATCACGTAAGTTATCAATTAACCGAGACAAGATTTCAGATAAAAGAAGAGGTAAATAAGTTATTAGACACGATAAATGTTAACAAAAATAACAAGTGAGGTAAAAAAGCACAGGGAAAAATCTTATACGTGTCATTTAAGACATCTTACGACGCACTTTGATGATTATCGATGTAATTAACTCCTTCGATACACTTGGAATCAAAAAAAACTCTCGAAGAAACTCTTGAAAATTCTTTTCACAAAAGTAATACAAAAAAAAAAAAAAAAAAAAGAAAAAGAAAAAGAAAAAGTTTCGAAATCCAATCTCTCTCGCTTTCGTTCCAATATAAGAATCTACGTCTTCGAATAAAAGTTTCAAGTTCGAAACGCTATGAAATATTTATCAACTGTAACCGCATCACAATATAAATTAACCACATCCTAAAAATTAAAATTTCAAATCGAGAGATTG